CAGCATGTGTACGTGCACAATAAGGCCATACGATGCAATGTGGTACAAACAATTAAAAGTTCTTTTCAAAGTGGAAATGCAAAATAGAACGAATATCTATTTTCTATAAATGAATCTAGCCATCTGCCTCGCAAAAAGCAGCAGCAGGGGTACCCAAAACAGCAAAAACAGCAGCCTCTGGTGTTAACAATCTATTCTCAAATCTCATGCTCCACATTTCCCCAGCAAACAAGGCTAAAAATACAAGACAGGCAACAAATAGTCTCTTGGGATCTGCCATTCTATGGATGGCGTACTCAATCAGAAGAATATCTTGTGTTGAAATGCAAAATTGGAAGAAAAAAAAAAAGCAGGCTATCATATTAGAAACCGGCGTTCAGAATTTTAAGTGTGAATCCGATTCCAAAGTACATGAAGCTGAATGGTGAGAGGGTGGCTGTTTTCATACAACATAAATCTCTGAGATTTATCTGAATACATTTATAGATTTATTTAAGCTCCTCTAAATTCTTCTACAAGCCTCATAGTTATAGAGATATAATTTTAGTACTTATGTCACCAAAATATCAGAGTCATTTTGTTTCCAGCATAGTTTAGAAAAGCATCGTTATTGTGGGCTCTGGAGTCTGACTGCATGGGTTCAAATCCAGGCTCCACCACATACTAACCCTGCCGCCCTGAGCAAGGTACTTAACCTCTCTATGCAGCACTTCTCCTATCTTAAAGATGAGACTAAGAAGAGTACTTAGCTCTAAGGGTTATTTTAAGGATTGTATGAGTTAATGTGTGTAAAACACTTTAGAATAATGAATGGTACCCACTAAAGACAGTCAGTGCTATGATTGTTCAATATTCAAGCAAGGCTGCAAAAATGCCTTCTCTTAAGGAACAGGCATAATAGAAAGAGTTGGGGCAACATGATGACAGGTCTCCTGCCAACAGTGGCCATTAAGCAAATGAGAGGGTAGCAGGTATGGGTCTTTCCCAAGGGTGCATGAGAATGACCCAGGAAAGTTCCCATTGGCTATTCGGTCATGCTGTCAGTTCAGGAAGGCATCAAAATAAGGAGGAAAGGAGAAAAGACAATGACACAGCTGGCCACATGGCACTGCCTGGAGTACAGGACAATCAGAGTTAATGACAAGGGTGTAATCAAGAAAGAGGACACATCCGGGCTCTTTGTGAACATCTATGCCATGTCAAGCAGACACCCTGTATCACCACCACCTCTTTCCTTAACAGGAGGTTATAAAGCCAGTCATTTTTTGGTACACTTGTCTTCGGGATTAGGTTTTAACACCTGTGGTCTGGATTTCTAGCCTCCATATTTAAAAAAGAAGACAGAAAGGCACAAGGGAGTGATAACAAACATTCACTATCTCCTGAGCAACCAATTCCTTGATAAGCCATTAAAGTGAGCAGTATTTTAAGTTGGGGACTTATTTGGTAGAAAGAGGATGGTAAAAAGTTTACAAGTCATCGATGCAATAGACAGAAATGGGCTTCCCTATCTCCTAAGACAGCCAGGTCCAGGACTACCAGATGGATTCAGTCACTGAGTTCTGGAAGAGCTCACAGAGGATTCTCAGAGATCCATTGGTCTTCCCACCCTGTGGGGTACCACTTAAGGAACCTCGGACCCACTGATGGGTCATTCAAAGAGTGAGCAAGCATGGGAAGAGTGGCATTATTATTTTTCCTAGGAAGAATCTGAAAAAGGGTGACAGGTGCTGATATCACAGGGCCAGGTAAGAACAATGAATCTCTTACGAACTGAGACACTTAAGAGATCTCTTGAGCAGAACACTCAGGTAGGGAAAGAAGGTGCCACTGGACTGCTCAAACTAAGACCACCACCTAGGAGTCACAAAAAAGAAAAACCCGTCAGGAAATTGGGAGAAAAGGCTCTTTCCTCATAGCCCTGTGGAGGAACAAATGTAGGAGGAAAAAGGAACAGAATGCGGGACGGGAGAGGCAGTGATAATGTTCATCAAGGAGGAAGTGAAAATAGATTTAAAACTGTCCCAACTAGGTGAATAAATGGATTTAAGTATATGTAGACCATATGACCCTATGATACCTATGAAATGAGTGTGGATTTCTCCTGACCTTAATGCATGACTGTCATTACCAGAAGGAAGATTTCATTGTCCAGGAAAATTTTTAAGAGGAGGAGGAACTGTGTGACAGCTTATCCTATCTAAGACCACTGTCCCCCCACCCCCCACCGCCTTTAGACTGGGAGATCTCCTGTACAGTGTCCAACAGAGGACTCACAACCAGATCAACAGCAGTGCTCCTTTTTTCCAAAGAACAAAAACAAATCAGTATGACAACATGATGGGGATTCAATTAGCACCTGGCAGGTCACAAATAACTTTTAAACAACCTTCTTTTAAGTTGGAAAGTGTTAATATATACAGTAATCATGGTACCAAAGTACGCCACCCACCAGGAACAGAAATCTGAAGAAATGAGTCTTGTTTACAAAGGAGGGAACCAGAATATTGCTCCTTGGGTCACTACTAGTTTCTGTGGGCGGTCCCATGCCCAAGTATCCTCTTTGAGTACGTTTAAACCAATCATCTGAAATCTCATTCTGATTTTCAGACGGTTTTGCCTTAAGTATGGAGAAAAAGAAAAGGAAAAAGAAAGGAGTGGGTACAATCTTCTCGGAAACAAATAAATGATAATTGCAAAGAAATGGCTACTGAACTATGAAATATTCTTATATCATCAAAGCGAATGGCGTAATTCTGTCTGTCCTGTTCTTTAGGGGAGGTAGAGAGTCTTGGTTCAAATCAACATGAAAAGACTTGCAGAACAACAACAACAAAAAAACTGTTTATTTGCATAAGTAAGAACACTGTAGGGCCAACACCGAGAGTGTGTAAGACTACTCAGCAAACATGTCCCCAGAGTGTACCTCATCGGGCTTTTAAGGAATGGGAACCTTTCTGGGCTGGGAGAACTTAAGGAACATTGAAACACACCCTTTGTTCTGAAAACTCCAATTGCGTCCAACTGTCCAAAGCCAGATGCCTGGGCTTCTCAGGATTTCCAGGCTGCTTACTGCTCATTTCTTGGGGAATCTCGGACAGATGCTAAGGGCCATGGGCTTCCTGCCCCAGAAAGTAAAATATTACATGGGGAATATTAGTCAGACATACCGCTCCATTCCATGTGTCCTGAACATTACTACAATCTGTGCAAGACATTTGTTGTAAATAAGCCTGCGGAGTGTACAGTATGTTTTCCAGGAGTCCTTTGAAGAACAGCTTGCAGACAAGAGGTGCTAGCCTTAGTTTCACAGCCAGCAAAACTCCATCCAAGAGGCTTTTGGCAGGCCCCCCTCGCTCTCGTTTCAAGCTGGCTTCAAGACAGCCCCATCAACCAAATTCCAAGGGTCAGGACAGGGAGTCAATCACCCTTAGGTATTCAGCAGAGAACAGTAAGTTGGGACTCAGACATTTAGCTCAACATTCAGAAAAGAAAAGGCCCGCTTTCCCCCATAACAGTGTATTAAAAACAACTCAGAGCTGACTTTGCAAGGAGGCATCCTCCGTAGTAAATTAAATGGCTGAAGCTTGTGCTTCTTCCAGCAAGCAAAAGAACTCTGCTTCACTATAACCTAGTGTGGGCAATCCCTGAAGCTCATTTTTAAACCTTCCCTGCTTTTTTAAAAGCCTGCTCCATTTGGGGGTGGGGGGGGTGGGGGGTAACTTTGCAGGAATGAAATGTAAATAGCCACTGAACAAGATTTCAAAAGGGAAAGCCTCTATCCATCTTCTTTTAAATTCTTCATTTCAGACAGCACGACTGCTTTTAACACACTGGTAGCTTTTTATAAAAATGAGATTATATTGATTCTTTTCTGATCGTCCTCACCCCTTTCCACCCTTTTCTGTCTCCCAGCTAGTCACAATGTGTTCAAGGTAGCCAGCAGAGCAGAGGTGAGGTGCACAAATCAGTGTCACCTCTCGCCAGACAAGCATTAGGTAAATCATTTGATGCAATTACAAATTCTAAACCTAATGGATGATACCCAGGAAAAGGGAAAGGTAAAGAAGAGCGGGAAGGAGACGCTTCCTGACGATTTCCAAGGTAAAGCTATGTGTCACATTGCCTCTGATCATCTTCAAAACAAGTCCGCGGGTTTTATCTTTAAGTTGATGCGCCTTGTCCTCGCTCAAGGTGGAGCTGAAACCAGTTGCAAAATTTCACTCTGCTGGAGTCCAGAGGATCCAGGAAAAAATGGGTCTACGTTTCTAAGTCAGAAAGAAGCAGCGGTTTCCCTGACTCTCAGCAGACACCGCGCTCGCGAGCTGGATCGGGCACCGGGCAGGGAGAGGAGGCGCCGGGTGACCGCCTCGGACCAACTGCTGACCCGGCTGGGCACTGCAGGCGCAGTTAAACGCGAATGGTGCACGCAGCTCTCCCGTGCTCCCGTACATACGCGGCCTCCTCCAAAGGAAACCCAGTGCTGCCTAGGACCTCGGGCTGGTGTCGCCCGAGGGGTGTCAAGCTTGGAGGACTTCAGCCTGGGTGCTGCTCCCCGAAGGGAAAAGGCGCCCTCTCTAGTCAAGCCTCCGCTGCAGAGGCTCCCATCACTCGACCCCTCTCCCCACGAACTCTCGGACGCCACTACAGACGCCCACCCAAGAACGGTCTCGCCTCGGAAGGAAGTGGAGAGGACTGAGGAGAGCGAAACTGGAGTGAAGAGGTGGGGACTCCAGTCTGCAGCAATTGGGGAGGGCTTGGAAAATTGAGCAAGCGACGAGAGTTAAGGAAGGGCAGGGGCCCCGGTCCTAGCAACCTGTAGGATTGAGGATGATCGCAAACTTGGGGTGGGAGGCAGTGGTCCCCTCGGAGGTCCTCCGCCCGAGTCCCATCCCGTTGGGCTCGGCGCGCGGAAAGGTGCAGGGGGTCAACGCCATAGATGTGGGTCCCGCTCGGTCGCCTCGCCCCCGACCCCGCCGCTCGCTCAGCCCGCCGCTTACCTCGGGCCGCCGCAGCCGCAGCCCCCGCCGCCCAGAAGCAGAGCCCTAGCCAAGGGAGCCACTGGAGCGCCCGTCCAGCGCCTTCTCCTGCGGCGGCGGCTGTCCCCATGCTGCTAGCCCCGCTCCGGAGTACGGCTGCTCTTCCGCGCCCCGGGAGCCCGGGGGAGGCACGGCGAGCCACGGGCCAAGACCAGTGGGTCCCGGGGGTCTTCAGCGAGTGACTGCTCCACGGCCTCTCCCTACAGCAGCGGGGCAGGGCGCTCCGAGCCGCCGCGCGCTGGGTACCCAGAGGATGCGCGCGCTCCCATAGCCTCTCACAGCAGGGCGATCGCTGCCGCCACAGTCACTGCCAGAGTCGACCGCTGTCCCCGCCGCACCTCTCGCTCGCAACGCTCCCGCAGCCGCCGGATTCCGGACTACAGAGCAGAGAAACGAGCCCGCATCGCTAATGAGACCCCGGCGGCCGCCCCTTCTCCTCCCCTCCGAGCGGCAGCCAATGAGCTGGGCCGGGGCGGGACGCTGGGAGGGGCGGCAGTGGGCGGGGCGAGGGGCGGGGAGGTGCAGGTGAGCCCCGCGGCGGCTGCGCGCACCTCCAGGTTCCTCCACGCAGCACAAATAGCCTCGGCTCCAGCAGGACGCACGTCGGACCAGAACCCGGCTCCCGGGGACCGCACGCGCTTCAAGGTGTGAGCAAAGCCGGCGGGGACCTCTGGGAGGCGAACCCAGAGCAGAACGATGCGGGCATCTCGGCATCCTACCTCAGAGTCGGCTGCTTCCTGGAAACCTCCGTTTTGCTCAACTTTGAGCCCTTTTATAGTCCTGCCTCTCTTGCTTCCATTTCTTAGAATCAGATCAGACATCACTCCTGAAAAATTAAAAAAAAATTTAAATGCCAAGTGGGGAAAAGTAGCATTAAAATAAACTCATTATTGCTAATATGCCAGAAATGCATGCATGTACTTAAAGAGGTGGGGACGTTACAATCATGGGTGCATTAGGTATGTGATCGATTTTTATTCTTACTTTCCCCCCCAATTTCCTTGTGTATGATCGTAATCACCCCAGAATCCTCCAAATTTTCTGAAAGCTCCCTTGTTTCCGATGGCTCTGGTTTGGTTTGTTTTAATCTGGGCCCTGAGAATTGCCTTTCTCTGAAAATATCAGGGAAAGGAAATCGTGCTGGACCATTATAACACGAAGGCAAGAAAGCCTTTTATTAAAAGTGTGGTTTGTTTTGAATAGGCAGTCAAATCTTTATTTAACTGCTTTTAAAAGTACATCGAAGTTGTCTCTTCTTCCCTCTGCAGAAGTCATTTAGGAGATTGCCTGAGGCCACACAGTTTTGTTGTTGTTTTAACCATTTTTTTTAAATTGAAGTATAGTCAGTTTACAATGTGTCAATTTCTGGTGTACAGCATAATGTTTCAGTCATACATACACATACATATATTCCTTTTCATATTGTTTTTCATTGTAGGTTACTATAAGATATTGAATATAGTTCCCTGTGCTCTACAGTAGAAGTTTCTTGTTTATCTATTTTATATTTAGTAGTATCTGCAAATCTCGGACTCCCAGTTTGAGAGCAAAGAACACACTTACGGAGTTGGCCCTGAGTTCAAGGCTCTGTACTCAAACTGCTGCCTTCTCTCACAATATTGAGCCCCTAGAATGGTGCCAGAGCTCCACTGGTCAGAACATGCCTCCTTCTGTCTGGGGGACCCCAATAGAGAACAAAGTCTTGGTTTGAGAGAAAGACAACCTTCCAACAGCCCCCACTGCCCACACTCAGTATCGATACAGTACTTAAAAAAAAAAATCCATCTCTCTGGTCAAAGTGCTACCTGCTCCCAAACACCTTTCTCTGGAGAATAAAGTTTAAGGTGAGGTAATTGTTCTGGATGAGGTAATTGGGCTAAGTCGCTTTCTTCCGAGGAAAAAAAGGATGAGAGGCAGAAAGATTGATTCCCTGGTAAGCATATATACCACCCTCTCCTGAGTGCCACCAGACATGTCCCTGTCAGCAACTGCTTCCTCGAGCCTTCTTGCAGCTCAATAAAAGGTTTAGGATCTGGTCAAGAAAACCAAGCTCTGGGGAACCAGGCTTCAAAGCCAAGACTGATGTGGGGCCGGCAAGGGACTCGCCTGAAAATCTCTTTAGAATCCTGGTAAATGAGGGTTTTGTCCTTTTCCTCGGAGAAGGTGAACTGGGAATTAATCTACCAAATATGCGTTCCCTGTCTTCTGGAAAATAGTCATTCATCCTCTGACTTTCCTTATTTTTCAAGACTATGAGGCAGTTCTAACACAAATGAGTATTTTCTATAAAAAAAAGAAAGAAAAAGATTACTATGTTTCTCTAAGGTAGTATTTAAGTATTACTTCTGTCTCCAGAGGGGAGCAAAAGTAAAAACAATTTTACTTTGAAAAAATAACTAGGAAATAGATGAGCTAAGAAGGTTAATAAATGAGATGAACAAGTCAAGTAAAATTGCGATGACAGCTAAGAGAGAAGGAGGGAAACTAAGAACTTCTGAGTGCATACTCTGGTCAAGGAATGGGTTTTCTCTCTCTATATATATAATTCAAATTTATTCAAATATATATGTTTTCTATATATATACATATATATTTTTTGTTATTTTTGTTGTTTTTTTAGAGCAGAACCAAACCCTGGAAGTTAAGTACTGTGATCCTAGTTTGGCAGAGAAGGAAAGTCAAGCTGAGTACAGAAGTTATTTGCCCAACATCACGTAACTAAACGGCTGAATGTCAAGAATGAGGCACCAGTTTGTACAATTCTAAACCCAAGATGCAGTTTAAGTTCATGTCCATTCAGTTGGGTTTTCCAGACATAGACACTCTGCTTTACCCTCCTCAGTACCATTTAGCTATTGGATTGGGAGAGGTTGGGGCTTCAGAATTACTCTGCATCTTACATCCCACGTATTAATTATACGTCCTGTATTAACTGTGTTCCACATATCAGTACATGCTGTGGTAATCTAATTCTGGTGGTTTTAAAACATGTATGAATTGTACTCCATTCCGATACAAGGAAAATGGGGCACAAGAGGATGGCCGAGTCCCAGGTCTCATGTGAGTGCCTGGGGTGCATTCCACCAAGTGAAGGTCCTTGGCTTCATGCAGGAAAGAGCTCAAGAGTGAGCCACAGAGGGGAGGGTATAGCTCAAATGGTAGAGCGTATGCCTAGCATGCACAAGGCCCTGGGTTCAATCCCCAGTACCTGCCCCCAAAATAAATAAACCTAGTTACCTCCCCCCCTCGACCAAAATATAAAAATAAATTGAAAAAACAAAAACAAAAAAAGAGTGAGCCATAGTTGAGATTTATTCAGAGAGATGCACACTCCATAGACAGAGTGCGGGCCATCTCAGAAGGCCAGAGAGTGACCACAAGGTGCAGGGTTGTTAGTTTTTATAGACTTGATTACTTCATATGCTAGCAAGTAGGAGGATTATTCCAACTACTTTGGGGAAGGGGCTGGGAGTCCCAGGAATTGAGCCATCACCCACTTTTTGATCTTTTATGGTCAGTCTCAGAACTGTCATGGTGCCTGTGGGCATGCCATTTACCATGCTAATATATTGTAATGAGCATATAATTAAGCTCAAGATCTAACAGAAGTCAAATTTCCCTCCACCTTGGGCCTCAAGGTCTACTGGGACTTGAATTTTCCACCATCTTGGTGCTCATTGCTGTGTCATTTTTTTTTAATGGCTGTGCCCTTCTGCCTTACTCCTGTCTCAATTCCATTTGAAGAAATATTCATATCCACTTGGAAAAACACTTTGAGTAGTCACTACTCAGGATCACTGTCTCCGGCCAAGGACCTGCATGGAATAACAGAACCGACCTGAGGGACACAGAGAGGCTGGGCACTGACACTGACATGGACGGACTGTGTGGCCTGGGGCAAGTCCACATCACCTACTCTCACTTTCTTCATCTGTAAAATGACAGCGTTTCACTAGATGAGCTGAAGATCCATCCTATTTAAGATCCATCCTTTTCAACTCGAACACATTATGATTTTGAATACCCAATACAACCAAGTTGGAAATGAAGCCACTTCTGAAATTGGGACAATTGTGTAACAAATGCATTGTGTTCTAGAGAAATTATTTTGGACTATAGCCAACCTATAAGTATTAGCTGTAGCCAAGTAATATTAATTCAATGAACAGGCTTCGTAAAGTGTTTTTCTCCATTCTTTGTTGTTTGAATTGACTATGCCTGTTTTCTAACACTTTATACATAAAGGTCAAGAGGTAGAACATTTTCTACTTCATTGCCTTTTTTTTCAATTGTAGTGTAATTGACATATAACATTGTATTAGTTTCAGGTGTACAACATAATGATTTGATATTTATGTGTATTGTGAAATGATCATCACAATAAGTCTAGTTAACATCTGTCACCTTACCTTTTTTTCCCTTGTGATGAGAACATTTAAGATCTACTCTCTTAGCAACTTTCACATGTACAATATAGTATTTTTAATTATAGTCACCATGCTGTACATACGTCCCCAGGACTTACTTCATAACCCACTCCCCACCCCCTCCCTTTCTCTGGCAACCACCAATCTGTCCTTGGTATATATGAGTTTGGTTAGTTTTATTCCTTGTTTTTTTTGTTTTTGTTTCTAGATTTCACATATAAGTGAGAACATACGGTACTTTTTTTCTGTCTGACTTATCTCAATCAGCCTAATGCCCTTAAGGTCCAGCCACTTTGTTGCAAAGGGTAGGGTTCCCTTCTTTTTTCAGAGCCTTTTGATCATCTCTAGCCAAACAAGTCTCAAATAACATAGAAAATGTTTGAGTGGAGTCAAATTTAGAGGAGGAGAGACAGAGATTTTGCAAAGAGAATATGCCCTTCCAAATATAATGAATTATTTTTAAGTGGTTTCTTAGACCTCTTTAGGGAAACCTGTGTATTTTTCCTGGAAAAAAAAATATTTTAAATGATTTATCCCACCTGTTACACCATAAGTGGTAAAACTCCAAGGGACGTTAAAGAAGGTAGAAATATTCTCCAAGAGCAAGAATTTGTTGTTCTAGGCAACAGGGCAGGAGAGAGGAACCAAGGAGTCGGGGGACAGCCACACCTGCCAACACGTGGCCTTTTTCCTCGGAGCTCCAAATCATCCTTGAGGCTCTGGAGGCGAGTGAATTCTTTATGAAAAGTAGCAAAAGGCTTGTAGTTTGAATCTAGGTTACTAACACACAAAACAGACACTTAGAACAGAGAGAAAGGACCTTAGGCATGGAAGCTTTCAGAACGTATGGAGACATTTTGGGGCCTCCCTAACAACAGAACTGGATTATTTTAGGAGCAGGAGGCGCCTGTTTAAAATCTGAACAAAAGCAAGGTGTCAGG